TCGCGCGGGACATCATCACGCTTTGTGTACGAATCGTGCTCTCGTGTGGGTTTTCTTTGCAGCTGATTCAAAAGATGCGCCCTCGGCGCTCAGAAGTCACGCTCTAGCTTTGGTTTGTCTTACGATGTACTTGGGAAATCGCGCTATCGCTCGAGACTTCTCGCGATTCATGCAGGACCCACTCTTCAGCAACCCGCCTGCTCGACCTGGTCGCCTGGGCACGCCTTCCCGACTTGCCCGCTATGGGTCTGCCCACCCGAGCTGCCCGTCTGGTTATACCACTTGTTTTCTGTTTTTTTGTCTCCCTCCTGCAACTTTTTCTCGCGCTCAAATATGCTCCTTTCCCCTTCCACCCGTCTTCTGTTCCCTTGTTTCAGGGACTGCACTACTAAATGCACGTGGCAGGTAAGGAAGATATGCCCCCAAGGGGGTACGATCGGAGACGACGAGGGAGGGTACCGAAGGTTTGGGATATACGGATTGACTTGCACGTAAGCAGAAATGAGCGCACAGTCTTAAATTGATTGTTGTTGTTGTTGTTGCTGTTCTTGTTATTGCTCTTGATTGTTTGCTTTGGTTTTCGGGCGTAGCCCGAATTTGTTTCTCGCGAGGTAAACGGATTGATCTGAACTGAACTGAACTGAATTGACTGGTCGCACCCGTTACGCGACGGTATTATTATGGGCCGCCGAGGGCGCAACATCTGGCGCAACCGATCGGAGACGTTTTTATTCTCGGCCGCCGAGGGCGCAACCCATGGGGCAGCCGATGGGAAACGGCTTTATTCTCGGCCACCGAGGGCGCAACCCATGGCGCATCCGATCGGAGACGGCTTTATTCTCGGCCGCCGAGGGCGCAACCTATGTCGCAACCGATAGGAGACGGTTTCATTATCAGCCGCCGAGGGCGCAACCTATGGCCAAACCGATAGGAAACGGTTTTATTCTCAGCCGCCGAGGGCGCAACCTATGGCGCAACCGATAGGAAACCGAGCTGGATCAGGATGGGGAGGCGGACGGAATACGAGTAGTACGAGGACGAAGTGTGGGCATTCGAATGCGTGCGGGACTACGCCCGATTTATGCTCGCCGTTTGGGCTGGCTGTAGGCCCAAGCGGTGAGCTGTCTTGTGATTGGCGTCGTTCCCCCCGCGACCCGGCCCGCGACCCACCCGCGACCCACCCCGCACCCGCGACCCACCCCGCGACCCACCCGCGACCAACCCGCAACCCACCCTGCAACCCGCCCTCGACCCACCCGCGATTCATCCACGACCCACCCGCGACCCAACCCCAAACCCACCCGCGACCCGGCCCACGACCCACTCGCGACCCACCCGCGACCCACCCGCGACGCGACCCAACCCTTGACCCATCCGCATTGCTTTAACAAAGGCGGGCTCGTTATATTCGGCGCCTGCGGCGGGCTTCCTCAGAGCCTCGCAGACTGCCGACGTCCCCGGAGCCCCCTCACTCTTATCCGCAACGTCGGGGTGTTACGTATCTAATGGCCTTCGGCCCATCACGCCCCCGTGCTTGAGTTGTGGGTCTGAAGCCTATCGGATGTTCGTTGGGACCTCGTCGGAGGCCTCTGGGGGGGCTCTCGGATGCAGTTTGAGGCCTCCTGGGGGCAGTTTTGCGGCCTCTTGGGGCCTCTTTTGGGCCTCTCGTGGGCCTCCTGGGGGCCTCTTGGGGGCCTCTTGGAGGAGAATTGGGTTTTTCTGTTGAGGGGTGTTGCCTCCTGGGAGCATCTTTGGGCGGAGGGCTCGGATCTTCGGTTCGTGTTCTTTTTCTCTCTCTCTCTCTCTCTCTCTCTCTCCCTCTCTCTCGGGCCCTTGTGGGGCCGTCTTTCGTGGGCCGTCTTAGGGCGCTCTGAGGCCGTCTTGGGGCTCTCTTGGAGGCCTCTTGGGCCGTTTTGGGATGGTCTTTGGGCATCTTGGGCCGTCTTGGAGCGTCGGAAAATTCAAAAACAAGTCAATGGTTTTTGCCTCTTGGAGCCCCCTTGGGAAGCCCCTTGGTGCGTCTTGGAAGCCTCTTGGGCCATCTTGACGTCATCTTGGGCGTCTTGGAGCGACCCTTCGGTGACTCGGGACCCTCTTGGCCCGTCTTCGGGCCCTCAGTGGGCCCGAAGCAATCATGCGACAACCCATGACGGGCCCCCACGGGACACGCCGGGAGCCTCGCAAGAATTTTCTGCATTTTGGGGCCTGGGCCCCGTACAGACTCCTCGGGGCTGAGGACCTGAGGCCCCAGGGAGAAGGCAGAGGACCTGAGGACCCGCTCACTCCGTGCCCGGTGGCACAGTGGCGAATACGGATGAATACCCAGTCCCCAGCCCCGGCCCACCTCCGGAACACCGAACACCCCCCTTGTGGGGGGGGGCCCTGGGAGGGCTTCACATGGCCCCGAGACGGCCCCGATTATTTCCCACGCGGCCACAGAGGGCACCGAGGAGGCACCAAGAGGCACCCCGCGACGGCCCACGAGCGCTCCCAGACGGCCCAGAGATGGCTTCAAGACGGCCCAGGAGGCCCCCCAAGAGGCCACCCCTGCGAGGCCGGAGAGGCCAAAATCAGTGATGCTCGCAGGCGTTTCAAGGTTTCGGGCGTCCGAATCTCCACGACGGCCCCGTGGGGCCCCCGAGAGATCGGCCCCATGCGGCCCAAAGGGGCCCCCGGGGGGCCAGAACGACGGCCCCCAGGAGCCCCACGAGACGGCCCAAGAAAGGGCTCACGTGTGGGGCCCCTCCCCTTCCTCCTCCTCCTCCCCTCCCTCCTCCCCTTCCACCTCCTCCTCCTCCTCCTCCTCCTTCTCCTCCTCCTCCTCCTCCTCCTCCTCCTCCTCCTCTTCCTCCTCCTCATCATCATCCTGCTCCTCTTCCTCCTCCTCTCCTCCTCCTCCTCCTCCTCCTCCTCCTCCTCCTCCTCCTTCTCCTCCTCCTCCTCCTCCTCCTCCTCCTCCTCCTCCTCCTCCATCTCCTCCTCCTCCTCCTCCTCCTCCCTCCCTCCTCCTCCTCCTCCTCCTCCTCCTCCTCTCCTCTCCGTCCTCCCTCCTCCTCCTCTCCTCCCTCCTCCCTCCTCCTCCCTTTTCCCCTCCTTTTCCTACTCCTTTTCCTCCGCCTCCTCCTCCTCCTCCTCCTCCTCCTCCTCCTCCTCCTCCTCCTCCTCCTCCTCCTCCTCCACCTCCTCCCCCAAAGACGGCTCCGGAGACCGCCATCCGGGTCCCAAGAGGCTCCCAAGAGGCCCCCGAAGAGGGAGCGGGAGGCCCCCAAGACGCCTCCTTAAGAGGTTTCAAGAGACTCGCTGGAGGCCCCACCCGAAAACATTGCTCCAAGAGGCCTCCGAGAGGCCTCCCAACCCCGAGAACTTTTGAGGCAGGCTTCTGATCAGCGACCCAGGCAGGGTGGTGGGTTTGGCCGACGGCGACTCGACATTTCCTTGAGAGTGAGAAAGAGGCGGAGGAGGAGGAAGAGGAGGAGGAGGAGGAGGAGGAGGAGGAGGAGGAGGAGGGCGGGAATAGGAGGAGGAGGAAGAGGAAGAGGAGGAGGGAGGAAGAGCGAGGAGGAGGGAGAGAGGCGGAGGGAGGATAGTATCATTTCCCACTCCCCAGGATCTCACGACGACCCGGAAGAGAATCTCGAAATGTCTTTGAGATGGCCTGTGCGACCTCCATGAGGGGCCCCAGAGGGCGTCCAGATCAGCCCCGCACAGGAGGAGAAGTACGAGTACGAGGAGGAAAGAGGAGTGGGAGGCCCAGGAAGCCAGAGAGGGGGAGAGACTTAAGAACAGTTCCAAGGTTGAGGTGGGTGGGGAGGAGGAGGAGGAGGAGGAGGAGGAGGAGGCCGAGAAGGAGGAGGATGAGGAGGACGATGATGATGGGGAGGAGGAGGATGAGGAGGACGAGAGAGAGAGGCTGAAGAGCAGTCCCAAGGATGAGGTGGGGAGGAGGAGGAGGAGGAGGAGGAGGAGGAGGGGGAGGAGGCCCAGGAGGAGGAGGAGGAGGAGGAGGCCCAGGAGGAGGAGGAGGAGGAGGAGGAGGCAGACGAGGAGAAAAATAATGGAGATTACGATGAGCATGCGGAGCAAAAGGAGGACAAGGAGAAGGAGGAGGAGGAACATGGGGTCATGTGGTGAGGCGTTCCTCATCTACCTTCTGGAGTCGTATTTTTCATTGTCGTCCCAATCCATGCTCGAGCCATGCGCGTACTTGTACGAGTGTGCAGCGATTTGTCGAGAGCCACTGCGTGCTAGCACAATTCGTATATACAGATGCCTATGAACCACATGCAGTTATACGTACACATGTTTTTGCGCAGTTGCACGTATAGCCTTCATCAAACTATACTTCAATGGCCATTAAGCGGGTGGCTATTGTTTTTTGTCATGAAAAGAGTCAATGCGGCGCAAGCTATGAGTTGTATCGGCGACCACTGGCTGGCCCTGGACATGCCAGCGACTGGTTTCACCCACAAGCCGCAGCGCCCTGGTGTAGCGCAGGCGCTGCGGAGTAGGGGGGGGGCCATCCACCGACTGACTTCGATCTCGCTCCTCGAGGCTCCCCTCTCTTGTCCCGGACCCCCGACGTCATGATTCTGGTTCGCAACGTCGACCCCCAGAGGTCTCGACCACTCCTCCTCCTCCTCCTCCTCCTCCTCCTCCTCCTCCTCCTCCTCCTCCTCCTCCTCCTCCTCCTCCTCCTCCTCCTCCTCCTCCTCCTCCTCCTCCTCCCTCTTCATCCGGAGCCACGTTCTCACGGTCCCGAGGCCTGGTGCGGGCCCCCAGCGGCCGAAGCCAGTGAAGCAGCTCGGCTCGAGGAGGCCTGGGACGCCTCTCTCCCGCTCTCGCTCCTCCTCCTCCTCGTCCTCCTCGTCCTCGTCGCTCCTCCTCCTACTCCTCCTCGTCCTCCTCGTCCTCGTCCTCCTCGTCCTCCTCGTCCTCTCTCTCTCTCTCTCGCTCGCTCCTCCTCCTCGCCGTGGTCTCCCCGGGCGGCGCCGCGCGCCGAGGACCCCCAGGGGCGCGTCCTCTTCGGGCAGCCTGTGGCGCACGACTCGGACGGCCTGCCCAGCAAGGCAGGCGCGCCCCCGGGGGCGGGCAGCGTCGTCGTCGTCGCCGTCGTCGCCGCCGCCGTCGTCGTCGTCGTCGCCGTCGCCGTCGTCGTCGTCGCCGTCGCCGTCGTCGTCGTCGTCGTCGTCGTCGTCGTCGTCGTCGTCGTCGCCGTCGTCGTCGTCGTCGTGGTGGTCGTCATCGTCGTCGTCAGCGTCAGCGTCGTCGTCGTGTTGTCGTCGTCGTCGTCGTCGTCGTCGTCGTCGTCGTCGTCGTCGTCGTCGTCGTCGTCGTCGTCAGCGTCAGCGTCAGCGTCAGCGTCAGCGTCGTCGTCGTGTCGTCGTCGTCGTCAGCGTCAGCGTCAGCGTCGTCGTCGTCGTCGTCGTCGCGGGGGGGGGGGGGAGGCCTGGCTGGGGGACCTCCCCTATGTCCCCCGAGCGGCGAGGCGACGCGGGCGCGGATCCAGGCGCGTGGGCTGGCGACGCGTCGCGTTTCCGGGCAGAGGCGGCGCGCTCCGTGGCCACATCGGGCGGCATCGGCCCCGTGTCTCGGGGGCTGCTTCCCACCGTCCGTGCATCCTCCTCCTCCTCTCCTCCTCCTCCTCCTCCTCCTCCTCCTCATTCTCCTCACCGCGTTCTGCTCAGGCGTGTGGACACGCGCACGAGCACGGGCGGCAGGCTACAGTTGTGACGGAGGTTGTCCGTTGTGCGGTCGCGCTGACGGTGTGAAGCACCGTGTTTGGGAATGCGACCATCCAGACGCTGCGCAGGCTCGCCAGGAAGTTACAGACGAACATCCCACTTGGTTGGCCGAGGCGATTAGCAGTGACGACCGTTGTTTCTGGGATGAGCTGAAATGGGATCACCCTGGGTCCCGAATGCCCTGCCCCAGCGACGACCCCAACCCCAAGTTGTACGACCCGTCTGGCAAAGAAATCCAATGGGATTCCGTGGACCTCCGAGGCCTCGATGTCTGCATGGATGGGTCGTGCGAGCGGCATGTGATTAGGGAGTTGTCTCGGGCCGCCTATGCGTGGGTCTTTTTGGATGACGCTGGTGAGGTGCGTGCCTTCGCCGAAGGAACGGTGTGGGACGTCCTCCAGCAGACCCCCCAGGCGGCCGAGCACCAGGCTATGGCGGTGCTGCCTATATTTGTTGAATACAGCGGTGACAGATACTCGGATTGTGCTACGGTGACTAAGCTGTGTAACACTTCGTCGCATCACCAGGTGTCTTACAAGCATCGTTACGGAGGAATGCGTCGGGGGGCCTTGCTCCACGAGAAATCGGATCATGAGGTTCGTGTCTTCCACACCCCCGCGCATAGATCTCAGGAGGCCCTCGACAGTCTCCCTGAGCCCGAGAGGAGACTCGGCATAGGTAATCGGTATGCTGACTCGTTAGACAAACAAGCTCTCCTACCCCACCCCCAAGCCTCCTAAGCTCTCTACCAAGAGGTTAGCGAGCAGATTGACAAATTAGTGTTTGCGGCCAAAGTCATGGCTAAAGTTTTGTGCGTTTTCCCCGTCGAGAGGTTCGAAAGGAACCCTTTTTCTGGACCCAGGTTTAAGTTCCTCAGGTCTGGAGGCTGGCATCACTGGGAACTCTTGGACGCGGGCCGTTCTAGGTGCCTCAGGTGCTTGCAGTTTTGGCGGGACCCTGGCACATGTCCGCTGTTGGGCTGCAAGGGTCCCAGCAAGACATGGCTTGGTGTTTTAGATTTCAGCAAGGGCCACACGCTGGCTCAGACCGTTGTCTCACGCGGAGACAAGGAATCGATCGAGCCTGTTCTTTTGCACCACGCGCGGCGCTTACACGTCGCGTCGCTGTTTCAACTGTCAGGGGCCAAATCCACCGTTCCCCGCATTTTTTCTGGCCTCCACCCTCATTACAGGAACGAGGATCGTGTTTCCCAGTCCTCTCGGAGAGGGGTCAATTATCTGTGTTATGCTGCCACTACTCCTCCCCCTCCCGAGGTCGCAACGCCAGCTGCGGGAGCGGAGAAGTTTGTTCAGACGCCTGGGATGATGACGCTGTTAGCGCGCGTCCAGGCGCGAGAGTCTGCCGCCGCGCTTGTGACGCAGCGTGGTCTTGCAGCCCTCCCACAGCAGGAGAACGCAGAGCCTTCGCTCGGGGCACCTGACCCTGCACCTGGCTCTGTCTGAGGTCTCTGCTGCTGTTTCAGGAGCCTGGGGTGAACCTGACAGGCAGGTAAACCCACCTCAGGCTGTCGTTCACAATGTGTGCCGATGCGGCCCGTGCTGCATCTGTGTCAGGGCATAACTGTCGCCCCCTCGGTCCTGCCCACTGGCTCGCAGAGGAAAAAATCCTCCTCCTCCTCCTCCTCCTCCTCCTCCCCCTCCTCCTCCCCCTCCTCCTCCTCCTCCTCCTCCTCCTCCTCCTCCTTCTCCTCCTCCTCCCCCTCGCGCCCTCACGCCAAGTCCCCTGACATCTTATCTCGGATCGCGCCGCATCGGCGGTGCTGCGCGATCCACAGCCAGCTCGTCTCCGTCCCGACGTCGCCGGCGCATCGCCGATGCGTCGGCGACGCGCCGCGGTTCGTGAACCATGGCTGCTCTGGCCTGGGGGCGGCTTACATTTCTGGGCTCCACCATGCTGAGGTTAGGGGGATTTCCCTTGACAAGGTTTTGCCCCCCACCCAACCCCCCAAGGAAATGAAGATGGGAGAACGTCCCCAAGGAAATGATGATGGGAGAACGTCCCCCTCAGGGGGGGAGTGCTTCTGGCGGGGCTTAACAGTTCCTGGAAGATCCCCCTGATGGTCGTAATGTTCCCCCTCCCGTTCCAGGGGGGGGGGTTGGTCATCCAAGGTGGTTGAAAGGGGCTTCTGGGGAAGCCATGCCTGCAGGAAAGGACGACGAGCAGAACCCATGCATCCAACGTCGAGTTTTTGCCGCGAGGGGTGATTTGAAGTCCCGACCCCATCCCTCGGGACTTCATTCTGGTCCCAGGTCATGTGCGTTCAGCCCTGCGAGCCCGAAGCTCGAGGCGGGGAACGACGAAACAGACCCGCATCGTCAACCAGGGCCGACGGGTCCTGAAGGAAATTGGCCCAAAACTTGGCAGCGCGGCCTTGGGGGAAGTGAGAGGGAGAAGGCCTTCTCAAAGGCGGCGGGGCTTCTCTGAAGGCCTCGCGCCTTCTGGAAAGTTGTTTTTCTTCGGGGGCTTCGAGAACTTCCCAGAGAGAGGAGGAGGAGGTGGAGGAGGAGGAGGAGGAAGAGGAGGAGGAGGAGGAGGAGGAGGAGGAGGAGGAATATGAGAAGGAGAGGAGGAGCAGGAGGGGGAGAAGGGAGGAGGAGGAGGATGAGGAGGAAAGGAGAGGAGGAGAAGGAGGAATAGAGGAGGTGGAGGAGGAGGAATAGGAGGAGGAGGTGGAGGAGGGGGCCCAAGGCCCCCCGAGCCTTCTGAGAAGGCCCGCCCTCCTCACTGCCCCCGTGGGCTCGCCGCCGCCCAACGCGCCCTGCGGTTCCTGGCCGCTCCGGGCCCTGCTGAAGGGGCCAGGCGGCCCGCCGGCACACGACCCAGGACGCGGGGAGGCTTCTCTTCCTCCCTCCTCCTCCTCCTCCTCCAACTCCTCCTCCATCTCCTCCTCCTCCTCCTCCTCCTCCTCCTCCTCCTCCTCCCTCCTCCCCTCCTCCTCCTCCTCCTCCTCCTCCTCTCCTCCTCCTCTCCTCCTCCTCCTCCTCCTCCTCCTCCTCCTCCCCTCCTCCTCCTCCTCCTCCTCCTCCTCCTCACTGCTCCTCTCCTCCTCCTCCTCCTCCTCCTCCTCCCTCCTGCCCTGCTCCTCCCTCCTCCTCCTCCTCCTCCTCCTCCTCCTCCTCCTCCTCCCTCCTCCTCCTCCTCCTCTTCCTCCTCCTCCTCCTCTTCTTCCTCCTCTTCCTCTTCCTCCTCCCCCGCCCCATTCTCCCTCCTCCTCCTCCTCCCCTCCTCCTCCTCCTCCCTTCTCTCCTCCTCCTCCTCCTCCTCCTCCTCCGCCTCCTGCTCCTCCGCCTCCTCCTCCTCCTTCCTTCTCCTCCTCCTCCTCCTCCTCCTCCTCCTCCTCCTCCTCCTTCTCCTCCTCCTCCCCCCCCCCAGGGGTCCAGGAGGCCCGGCTCCCTCGAGGCCAGCCCGCGGCGTGCCGGGGACCTGTCCTGGGGCGAGCACCGTTTCACCGATGCGCATCCCCGATCCCCGGTGCCGATCCCGACCGTCCTGCCACCCCGGTTGGGGACGTGCCCCTCGGTGCCCGAAGGGAGCAGCCCAGATCGCCATCTGCCACTCCAGGGCCCCAGCAGCATCCGGAAGGCAGCTGAGGGCTTCTGCGCCCAACCCCGTCCACAGCATCGGACGCGCGGTCCAAGCGTCCCCCCCATGAAATTCTAAACGGGCTTTCGCTTGCGGGGGAGTGCCCTTGGGCGATCCAGTCTTGTGATTGGAATTTGATTATGGAGAGTGGATGGAGCCTGGTTGGGGCGATCCTGCCTGGGGCCTGGTTTGGACCCAGGTCTGGCCTGGCGCCCTGCCTCGCACATCCTCAAACATTGCCTGGCGTGGCCCCTTTTTTGCCCTGGCTTGGGCTCGGTTTCGCGTGAGACGTCCTCCGAATTCGAATGTTTTGGCGTTGGTTTGGCCCGCTTTGGGCCCGATCTTGCTGGAGGGGTCCTCAGAGTTTGGCTGGTGCCGCCCTGGTTCTGCAGGTTCTGTTGCCCCGTTTCGTTGGAGACGCCCTCGCAAGCTGCCCGGTTTGGCCGGCTCCAGACGGCCTTCACGCGGCTCGCGGGGTGCAACATCAGCGAATGCCTTGTACGGCTGGGTAACACCCATCATGGTCGTCATGCGGTCTCGGGCTTCTGAAGGCCAGTGCTCGGGTCACTGTTTGTTCCCCGACGTTCTTGCCGATGGCGGCGGAGTTCTCGACGAGGGCGGCGAGGGCAGCACGCGGCCCGCCCCGAGCGCGCGCCGCGCCCGCGGGAGGCCCAGCTCCTCGCCGACCAGGACCCGTACGGGGGCCTCGGCCTCGCGCAGGATGCCCCAGGGCGGAGGGGCGGGCGCCTTCCGCCCACGCTCTCTCCCTCTCGCTCTCTCCCTCTCGCTCTCTCCCTCTCGCTCTCTCCCTCTCGCTCTCTCTCTCTCTCTCTCTCTCTCTCTCTTTGTTTCTCGTTAGGTCTCGCTCGTTCTCTCTGCGCTGCTGTCGCCTTCGGAGTGAGGCAGACCCGCGTGCAGCGGAGTGACCTACCTCTCTCTCTCTCTGCTACCTCTTCCTGCGCCTGTCTCCTCCACTCTCCCTTGGAGCTGGCCAGGGGTCTGCGGCGGCCCGGCGGGCAGTGGCTCCAGCGAACAAGGAGGGGGTGGGGGAGGTTCTAGGTTCGGGAACGTTGTTGACCTCCTTCAGCATATCTGGGGGCCGTTCCCCAGGACCGCCAAAACCGGGCCCAGGCTGAAAAACTGCACCACAAATGGACCCTGGAAAGGTTCAGAGACCGATGTTGGGCGGATGTGGTTTGCTTCCCCTTCCTGACCGATATGTCCTCGGCGCCGATCCAGCTCAGACCCGCCGGCTGCCTCCAACACTGTCTTGTTTTGTTCTCTCTCTCTCTCTCTCTCTGTCTCTCTTGTTCGGTCTTTGCTTATGCCTCTCTCTCTGTTTCTCCGCTCCTTTTTTCTCGGGAAACAAGAACAATACCAGTGACGCGGAGGCCGTGGGAAACCCATTCGCGTGATACTTCTAAGGCAGAGCCAAGCCTTCGGCCAACGCGGAAGAGTATAACACGCGGGCGGGCTACCAGCGGCAGCGTGTCAGTGAGATTCGTTCCGTCCCTCTCGTGGAGGAGGAGGAGCAGGAGGAGGAGGAGGAGGAGGAGGAGGAGGAGGAGGAGGAGGAGGAGGAGGAGGAGGAGTAGGAGGATGACGGGAAGGAGGGGGAGGCGGCGGAGGAGCAGGTCTTTTTCTCCCCTGTTTCATCTCCGCCCCATATCTCCTTTCGGTTCAAACGAAGGGGGGGCTCGAGCTGTGCAGCACGCGGCCGATTTAGGGGATCACCACTGTCGTCTATCGTAGTCGCATGTACGTAGCACCCCGCAATTGCGGATAAGAGTGAGAGGGCGGCGAAGACGCGGGCAGTCTGCGAGGCTCTGAAGAGGCCTGCCGCCGGCTTTTTATTTTCACAAGCTATACATAGAGCCCGTCGCAGGCGCCGACTTTTTTCGTGAATGCAATGTGGGTGGGTCGCGGGTGGGTCGCGGGCCAGGTCGCGGGTGGGTCGCGGGTAGGCCGCGGATGGGTCCCGGGTGGGTCGCGGGGTGGGTCGCGGATCGGTCGCGAGTGGGTCGCGGGTGGGTGGCGGATGGGTCGCGGCTGGGTCGCAGATGGGTCTTGGGTGGGCCGCGGGGTGGGTGGCCGGTCGGTCGCGGGATGGGTCGCGGGTTGGTCGCGACTGGGTCGTGGGTGGGTTGCGGATGTGTCGTGGGTGGGTCGCGGGGTGGGTCGCTGGTGGGTCGTTGTGGGTCTCGGGCCTGGTCGCGGGCCTGGTCGCGGCGGGGGACGTCGACGACACCAACGCAACAATATCAGCAACAAGAGCAACAAGCAGAAATTGCGCCGTTGATTCTCTCTTCAGCCACGCACCCAGGAACAGTGAATGACCGTTCGGCCACCTCATTTTGATAAATTTAGACACGTACCATCATACACATACATACTCATACAGACACCTCTCTCTGTCCATGGGTATATGTATACAGCTAGATATCTATCAAGATGTAACTTACTCCGGACTACATGCCGCAAGCCCTGACCATTACCGAGGGGAGAACGAGCCTCTGCTTGTCGTTCTTGGTCGCTGACTGCCCGCCTTCGTGCAGCTGGTTTCGTCCCTGACGCAGGGCGCCTTCCTGGATGCACTGGCGCCTCTGGCGCTGGAAGGTGCTGGGGATCCAGCTGCGCTAGCTGATTCACAAACTCCATTTTTACAACTACGCCCCGACCCGCCTTTAACATTGACTCCATCTGAATACTTCGCTCTCCTCTCCCCAGGTGGCGTCTTTGATTTCCCCCGCCTGTCTCGCAACTTATTCCCCTTTCACGCAGGATTGCCCAAAGGCGGTCAGTTTTCGAGATTGCGTCCAGCCAGAATGTTGTCGGCCTTCCAAAGAGCCTCCGTCCAACGGAACGTCGAACTTGCGGCCTCATCGCTGGCCATATTCTTGCACCACCAGAAGTGGTGTTTGCATTCCGCGAATTCCGCTGGCGGCTTACCCTAACTGACTTCGACTTCACTCCCGGTCACGTAGAGGGCCTTGTAGGTGTCTGCTCCACGTGCGTCAGACCCAAAATTCGCAGGTCCTCGCGCTCGGCGTGGACGCAGCCCGTGGCTGCCAGGGTCGCAGCAGTGCGTCGACCCCCAGCGCGAGCTCGGCGAGACCCCACGCCAGCACGTTGGACGCACCACCACCGACCCCAGCAGGGGCAGTCGCAGGAGACGACGCCATGGAGGGGCCATGTTGGGCCGTCCCCCGCTCGCAACGCCTCCATGCAAGTGCGTCCCCGCTTCCCCCCCGCTTCGCCGCCGCGCGAGTCATTCCGGGGCGCGCGCTGGGGGCCGGAATCGCCAACGCGCAAACGCGCGAGAGAGAGAGAGAGAGAGAGCGCGCATATCTGCTCACCTTCCAGCGCCGCGGCTTACAGCAGCCAGGGGGTGCCGTTATAACCGCCCGATGGGCCACGCGGAAAAGCTGGGAGACAACAGTCCCGCACGGCCGCTCGTTCATCTTCCCTGGCGATCTCACCGTGGTGCCAGGCCCCCCCGAGAACTAGCTTCAGCTTGAGCCCGCCAGCGTGGTAAGTGGCACCGAAAGCACTTCCCGTCACAGGTGAGCAAGCTGCTTGGCGAGGGATGCGCCAGGGACCCCCCTCCGCTCTTCCACTGAGCCAGCCTCAGGGGCATCTGCTTTGATCGTGCCCTGTAACGGCTGTGCCAGCATGCTACGTTGCGCTGTTTGATCGTGCCTTGTAACGGCTGTGCCAGCATGCTGCGTGCCTTGTTGTGCAGTCATGGCCCCGCGGGATACTCGGAAATCTGTTTGAGCGGCCGTGTCGTGCTGGTGATTCGGGCACCGCCAGCACGCCGCCGGTGGCCCGACCTCGCTTTCCGGGCTGGGCGTTCTGCGGGCATGTGTTGTGCGCTGCAGGCTGCCTCCCGCTCGACCCGAACGGATTCTGAGTCAGATGCGTGGGCTTGCGCAGCTGCTGCGACGATGGAGTCCGGCTTTTCTAACGCAGCATGGCAGAACACCACACCTGCGGAACTACCTGGACACCGCAGCGTCTGCGCGGCCCCATGGCTTGCTGCGCGCTGCTGCCGCGCAAACACCGCACGACATCCACCCCACGATGGTGCCCTCAAAGCTTGTCCTTGAAGGCCTCGGCGGAGGAGGTGCCATCTCGTGGCCGCAGCTGCCGCTTCCCATGTGTCCTCGTCCGCTGGCTCCACCTCCTCCTTCTCCTCCTCCTCCTCCTCCTCCTCCTCCTCCTCTGCTTGACCCAGTCCTCCTAGCCTCCTCAGGGCGTCCTCCGGCACGCCTTACTGCCGCCTCGTCCTCGGCCTCCTCCTCCTCCTCCTCCTCGCCCTCCTCCTCCTCCTCCTCCTCCTCCTCCTCCTCCTCCTCGCCCTCCTCCTCCTCCTCCTGTTCGACGCAGCCGTCGGAGCGCAGGCGGACGCCGGGAGGGAAGGCGGCCGCGGACACGCTGCTGCCGTCTGGTCCCCCCCGAGGGAGCACTCTGCACTTTCCTGGAGCGTGCGGCGGTGGAGGCCGCCCCGCCGCGAGCTCGGCCGCGACCGAGTCCAGGAAGGGAGCCACGGTCTGCGTGTCGCCTGCCACGAGGCTGTCGCCCGTCGCAGAGGAGGCCGGGTGGCCAGATCCAGCTGACGTCCTGAGCGGAGCTCTCGGAGGCCGCGGTGCATCGTCTCTGCGCAGCGCGGGGGGGCCAGAGAAGGCAGCGGCGGGCACAGCGGGCCGCCCTATGGAGATCTCACGGATCACAGTCGAAGGGCGACGTGGACAACCGCTCCTGCGCCTCTCCAGAGAGCCGCGCCGACCTGGAGGGGCGCCAAGCGGCCCCGGGCAGCCTCAGCGATCTCCTTGCGCAGGCACTTGCCCACCAGACTGCGGAGCGTTCCGCAGGTGGCAAGCGGCCGGCGCAGGACGGAGACCCCTCGGCAGCCTGCAGCTCGCATGACCAGTCGTGCGGCGCGAGATGGGCCGCTGGCTGGCCCACGGCTGGCAAACGACGTGGGTTCGCAGCACGGGCCACCACGCTTCGGCCCAGGGAAACGTGGCGGCACGATTCCGAGTTGGCGGACGCGCTGCTCCCATCCGCTGCACGGGGCCCCGTCGAGCTCCGCATCGGGGGGCTGCACCGGCAACATCCACGGCCTTGCTGGGTGCCGTCCAGCGGCCGTCGGGGCCGGCGAAGCCCCTCTGGCAGCGAAGCAGCCTGCCGCCGATCGGCAGGCCCGCGAGGGCGCGTGGGAGGGCCGTCGGAGGTGCGCAGCTCGATGGGGGGGGCGCTGGGGCGAAGTACGAACGCGTGGCCTGCGGAGGAGGAGGAGGAGGAGGAGGAGGAGGAGGAGGAGGAGGAGAAGGAGCAGAAGGAGGAGGAGGAGGAGGAGCAGAAGGAGGAGGAGGAGGAGGAGGAGGAGGAGCAGAAGGAGGAGCGTCGGCCCCGGAACAGGCGAGTGGCCCTTCGGGGGAGCGGGCGCGCAGCGGCGGGGTCGCGCATAACGGCCAGGGCGCCGCACGGCGAGCGCGAGCGGCCGGAGTGTCCTTCTTCGCGAGCAGCGGGCACGGCGGAGGGGGTCCGCGATTGTCGGAAGGGTTCTCTCGAGGCGACAGATGCCGACACGGCCGCCACGGCCCGTCTGCTCCTTTCTTACCAGCCTGGAACATATTCCTATCCCTATGCTGGGCACCTCCTCATCACGATGCCAATCTTAGGGATTTCCTGATGTTTTGAGTGCGGCTCCCTAAGATCGTCATCGCCTTCTGGCGCGTCAATCTTAGGGATAGGGATACGTTCGAGGCTGGTAACCTTCTGCTTCACCATGCGAAGCGCGCCCTGCGGCAGCGAGGGGGCGGGGAGGAGGGGGAGGAGGAGGAGCTCGGTGGGGCAGCGGGCGTCGCTGCCCCGAGTCTCCAGGAGCCGCGCAAGACCATGGGCCGCGGCGGGCGCTTCTGCCACGTGCGCGCGTGGCTTGCCCTGCTCAGAACGGCACGCCCAGCGGGGCGCTGCTGAGATATCTCCCGCGAGCGCATGCCCCGTCTGTTAGCATCATCCTCAAATTCTCGCTGCCCTCCCCCTCCTCTTCCTCATCCGGCGTGGGCGGTCAGTATCGCCTGACCCATCCATCCCCATCCCCATCCCCATCCCTGCCCAGACCCCCACCACCTCGTTCCCCCAGTTGGGGACCTGCCCTCCGAAGTCTGACAGAAACGGCCTATGTTTACCAGCCTCGAACGTATCCCTATCCCTAAGATTGACAAGCCAAACGGCGATGACAATCTTGGGGATCCGCCCTCAAAAAAAAGGGAATCCCTAAGATTGGCATCGTGAGGAGGAGATGCCCAGCATAGGGATAGGGATATGCTCCAGGCTGGAAATCTGTCCCCATCCAGGGGAGCAGCTCGGCCAGCGGGGCCCGGGCCACGCGCGCGAGGACCGGGATCGGCCAAACGCTGCTCAGGCGGGGGCGGGCTGCCGTGCTGCCGCCTCGGGGTCTCCGCGTGCTCCTCCTCGCGGGGCTCTGCGCGGCGGCGGCGCCGGCGCCTGGCCTGCCCAGGTGCGCAGAGTGCATGGCCGATGGAGAACAGAATCACCCTCCTCCTCCTCCTCCTCCTCCTCCTCCTCCTCCTCCTCCACAGCTGTCTCCTCCTCCTCCTACTCCTCCTCTTTCTGCTCCTCTTCGCTCTCCCTCTTCTCTCTCCCTCTCCCTCTCCTCTCCCTCTTCCTGTCCTCCCCCCCCACTGCCCATGGCCTCCTCCTCCACTGGTCTCCGTGCTGCTCCTCCTCCACAGCCGTGGGGCTCTCCGCCCGTCCGCCTCGCCGAAAGCGCGGCCCCCCTCGGCTGCAGAGCCCAGCGGGCGCCCGCTCGTTCACGCCGCAGCCCCATGCGCCCCCTGCGTCCATTCTCTCCTCTTTCTTCCTCGCCTTCCTACTCGCAGTGTCCCTCCCTCGGCCCCCTACTCGTCCCTCCCTCGCTCATCCCCCACGTCATCCCCTCGCTCCTGCCCTTCCCCCCGCCGCTCTTGCTCCACCCCCCCTCTCCTTCCTCGGTGGTCTCCGGATCGTTTGTGTTCCTCTTCGCATCCACGTCTACCAAGCAGGAGACAGCTGACGTGGCCAAGTTGCTCGCACCAGTTCAGCCTACAGCGATCATCTGCATCGGGCTGAACTACGCCAAGCACGCGGCGGAGTCCGGGATGCAGGTCCCGCCACGAGGAGGACATGAGGAGGGGGAGGAGGTGGTGGGGGAGGAAGAGGCGGTGGAGGAGGAGAAGGAGGAGGAGGAGGTGGTGGGGGAGGAGGAGGAGGAGGAGGAGGAGGAGGAGGAGGAGGAGGAGGAGGAGGAGGTGGAGGACAGGAGGAGGTGGACAGGAGGTGGAGGAGCAGGTCCCGCCACGAGGAGGACAGGACGAGGAGGTGGAGGAGGAGGAGGTGATGGAGGAGAAGGAGGAGAAGGACGAGGAGGAGGAGGAAGTGGTGGAGGAGGAGGAGGAAGAGGAGGAGGAGGAGGAGGAAGGAGGAGGAGGAGGAGGAGGGGGACACCGAACACTGGTTGGATCATGCTTACGATTCGATGCAGTGGAACACGTCTTCCTCAAGGACGTGACGGTTTCGGGGACCCGGCCCACCCGCCCTGCCCCTCGAGGGTCCGCCGGCGGGCCAGCCCGCAGACGCGCGGCAAGCCAGGGGCCCGCGGGCCGGCCAGCCAGTGGACTCGGCGCGCTTCGCTCCTTGAGCAGGGGCCGACCGTCCCGGCATTCCTGTAGGCCCACCACGACATGCTCTCAGAGCCCCAAGAATGTCCCAATCACAGAAGCATGGTTCTCGGAACAGAACCCCGATGTGTAGGCACAGGACAGTCCCGGCCGGACATGTCCTGAGAACATTTCGTGCAGACCACAAAAGGTTCTTAGCACATTCTTTGGTAGGACTATAGGCGAGCCAGGACGCTTCGCCACTGCTTCAGCTCCGCTTCCGCCGCCACTGCCTTCAAGCAGTGCCAAGGCGTCCTGGCTGGCCTGCAGGTCCACAAAGCATGTGCTAAGAACCTCTTCTGGTCAGCAAAAAGTGTCCTTAGAACATTTCTGGCTGAGACTGTCTTGTGTCAAGTCGTCGGGCATAAGTATGTTCTAAGAACATTGCATTTGATCTTGAAAACTCTTGGGGCTCTAAGAACATGTCGTGGCAGGCTTACGGGAATGCCGGGACGGTCGGTCCCTGCTCAATGTCTTGCTTGCTCGCTGCCGATAGCGTCGAGCTCCGACTTCGCTCCACTCCGCCACTGCCCTGGTCCCATGCAACTGATGACGCCAGGCCCCGTCCTCGCGACTTGGAGCTGCTGCCCTGTTTTGTGGTTCCCGTCTTTTGACGGCGTTGGGCTCCGTGTGCGCTTCTTGTCGCCATTGCCCAGCGTGTCACAGTTGATGGCATTGGGCTCCGTGTCATTGCGATGTTGGGTGGTTGCACACGGTTCCGTTTTCCGCCCTACGATGCCACCGCCTTGTTTTCGTGGATTATGTCGCAGGTCCTGGGCCAGCGCAGAAACTAGGAAATCTTTGGATGAGGAGGAACAGCAGCAGACAGAGGTCGAGGATGACGAGGAAGACCATGGCAAACCCAAAACGCATCAACGGTGTTGCAATGAACCCTCCCTTCAGGTCAAACTGACAAACCCATCTAACGCCAATCTTCACATACCCCTATAACAGAGTTAGTGCGCAATGCGGAAAGCGGCCCAGTAAAAGACAACCGCGTGAGAATCCCCGATCGTGCCAAAGAGCCGTTCCTGGGACTTCAGCGCCGCGGATCACGACAAGCCAAAACCGTGCCGGACCGTCATTCCTTGGATTTCATCGCCGCGATTCAGCGTCCTGACAATCCAGGATTCGTCCAGAACGCCGTTCCTGGGACGTTGGCCATAGGGATATTTGAAAACCGTGGATGTCTTTGCGACGGATGCGCGCTGCGCTAAGGCGAGGGCCACCCGGAAGCCAGCCGCCCTCCCGCCTTGAACTTGTTGCGACTTTGTCTGGCGAGTGTGCGCGGCGCCAGGCGAGAGCCACATCTTGAGAAGCAGCCACCCTCTGTCCCTTCAGATGTTGCGCTTTTCTATGGCACATGCGCGCGGCGCCGAGGCGCGAGCCACATTTTGAAAGCGATCATCACTCCATCCGTGAAGCTGGGAAGACAAGGAGGCAGGTGAGAAGAAGCACGATGTGGAAGGATGTCGAGGAGGCGGAGGAGCAGGAGGACCTTCCTCTCCGTCCCCTTTCTTCTCATCCTCGTCCTCCTCCCCCTTTCGTCCCTGTCCTCCTCCTCGTCATTGTTGTCCTCCTCTTGTCCTCGCACCCATCGGTGCCTCCAGCACGGTCTGTGCTGACCATCCGGGGACCTTCCCAACATCTCCCCTCAGGGCGGTCGAGTACGTCAGGAAAGGAGGAGGAGGCGGACGAAGAGGAGGAGGAGCAGGGACTTGGGGAGGAGGCGAATGAAGACGAGGAGGAGCGGTGACTGGGGAGGGATTGCGGAGGAAAGAGGAGGGCGGAAGGACTGACAAGAAGGAGGGGGAAGAGGCAGAACCAGAGGATGGATGACGGATTGATGGGGGAGGATGCCCCTTTCCCCCATCAATCCGCCATCATTCATCAATCAGTGTTCCCCCTGCCTCTGAGGGAGGGGTAGCACTGATTGAGGAAGGGCGGATTTTGGAAGATGGCGTGGAGGGAGGGTAGGTGGGAGGAGGGAGGTGGAAGACAGAGTGAGTGAAACCAACTGAGGAGGGATGGTGGGAGGAGGAGGGAAGCAGGAGAGAGTGGGGATGCCAGGAGAGAAGACAAGGAGAAGAGTGGAGAAGAGCATGGAAGGAGGGGAGGAGGAGGGACCGATGAGGGGAGGAGGAGGAGGAGGAGGAGGAGGGGCGAGGAGGGCTGGCGGCAGTCGGCTCGCAGGTGCCGGCGCACCCGGTGGTCTTCATGAAGACCGTGTCCACGCTCAACAACCCAGGAGAGTCGCCCGCCAGGGCGCGCGGTGAGGAGGAGCCTCGAGGATCGATGACACAGTCGGGGCCCTGAAGAAGGAACCCTTTTCGTTGGGGAGGAGCTCCGTGTTCCTTAAGTGTTTCACAGCTCGCCTCAGGTTTTCCTTATGTTTTTGATCGGACATCAAAGTTTAACTTATGGAAAAAAAGGGGCCTCGTTCCTTATTTAGGGTTCCTTAGGTCAACGCCCCGACTGTACAGGCTTTGAGGGGGCGGATCGAGGATCGAGGATTGAGGATCGAGGATCGTGTCGCTCGCCAGGGAGGGGGGGAGGGTCGAGGATCCAGGTGCCGGATGCTCGTCGCCCCTTTTCTGTGCCTGCGTCGGACTTCGCGCCGCCAAGGCGGGAGTCCCTCCGAGATCCGTGTCCAAACGCATCCCACGGAGACAGGTCCTGGGGGCGATTGTGGAGAGGCCGTCGAAGCCTTGGCGGACTATGAGTACATGCGATAGCGGCCTTGACGGACGATGGGCCCTTCCTGCGCACCTGTGAGGCGCTTTGACTCGCGTCATCGCCGAGCGGAGCGCGATGTGTCGCGCATGCAGTGCCAAGGGTGATCATCCGATGTGGGCTTCTATGCCATAGCCTGGCCTCGGCAAGCCGTCGACATTGATATTCATCGGTATTCAGGTATATAGACATATACAGGGGCTTGCATGTATTTGTGTATATATGTGTATGTACGCACACACACACGTTTAGATATAAGTATATACGTGTGCATAAATATGTGTGGGTGTGTGTACACCTACAAACATCTATCCACATCCGCTGCCTGCCGACGTCCCCGGGCGAGCTATCCCCCAGGCGGTGGATCTATTCATGCACCCCCGCCCCGCATATCACCCCTCGGGCACCTGTGGGCCCTCCAGGCTCTGGGTGCGTCTGCGCGTGTGGGCGCGTGCGCGCGTGCCCGGCCCCCCCCCCTCCTCCTCCTCCTCCTCCCTCCTCCTCCTCTCCTCCTCCCTCCTCCTCCTCTCCTCCTCCTCCTCTCTGCTCCTCCTCCTCCTCCTCCTCCTCCTCCTCCTCCTCCTCCTCCTCCCCACTTGTGGCTCCCGACAGCTCGGGCGCACACAGCCCCCCCCGGCCGCCAATGTAGCCATTTTCCGCGTGGCCCCGAGATCTCGGCGTCGCAGTTTTTGCTTCTGCGCTCTCGGCGCTGATCGCCCGGACCCTCGGGCCCGGGGGCCCCGGCAGGTCGATCCGCGGGGCGAGCACGGCCGCAGGAAGGGCCGAGGACGAAGCGCGCATCCGTACCCAAACCCCCTCCCCTTGGACATGCAAGCATCACGATGGAGTGTGTTTTCTCGTCCTGTTTTCCGCCTCTGGGGGTCCTCACCCGGCCCCGGGACCGTCAATAAACGACCCAGGGGATGAAACATTGGCCCCAGGGAGTGAGTCGAGACCTTTGGACGTCGAAGTTTTGTGAAACGATCATGGCGTGGGGGGTCTGGGCGATGGCATCCACGGCCTCGCGGGCCGCGCCCCTGGGCCGCGCCCCTCCCGGGGACGTGCGGCGCTGCTTGCGCGGAGGCCGCGCCCCGACTTAGATCCGTGCGGCCGCGTATAGCCGCGGGGCCGCTCCCGGAAGCCGGGGCGCGAGGGCGGGGATTGCGGACGTGCTCGCCGCGTGTGGAGGTGCGCTCCGAGGGGGGGTCGAGATGAAAAAGCCCAGGATGAAAACGTGGCCCCAGGGAGTGGGTCGAGACCTTTGGAAGTCGACTTTGTGAAACAATCATGGCGTCGGGGGCCGCGCCCCGACCGACTCCGTGCGGCCCGCGTAGCCGCGGGGGACCGCTCCCGGAATCCGCAGGCCGCGAGGGCGGGGATTGCGGACGTGTTCGCCGCGTGTGCAGGTGCGCTCCCGGGGCGGTCTGGTCGGGATTGCTCACGAGGTCTTGGCATCGCTCGGACGTGTGCATTTTTTCCTTCGGCGAGGACCATCGAGGAGCATCCCCTGATCACTTGGCGAAAAGAGCCACGCACGAAACCGACAAAAAACACAGGGAATGGACGTCCGAGCGATGCCCAGAGGTTGCCCCTCTGCTCGCGACGTCGGATCTCTGGGCGGAAAGGGGGACGCGGCCTCGCCCGGATGGTGCCCAGGAGGGGGCGGCGCGCCCTCGGCCTCCTGCTGCTGCTCCTGCGCCCCGCCGCGGGGGCGGGGGCCCGGCGGGCAGGGGCGCAGCGGAGGAGTCGGGGGCGGAAAAGAGGGGGGTGATGACTAGGGGGGGGGGGGGGGGATATCATGGCGGGGGCCATGACATCTCCCCAGATTTCGTGGCGCCTCGTCTTGTGTCATTGCGTCCCTGGCCCCCCCGCTGGGCCGCGCACATGCCGCCCGTCATGATTTGCACCCCCCCCTCTTGGACACCCCCCTCTTGGCCGCTCCCGAAGGAGGGAGGACGACGGGGGCGAGCAGGCGGGCCTGGACCTGGCTCCTGGCGCTGGCGGTGCCAACGGGCCAGAGGACCCGGCGGGGGCAGGAGGGGCGGATGATGGACAGGCGATATCTAACGGGGCGATAAGCCCAGACCCCCTCGAGTCATGCAGAAATCACGGCGGGAGGTTGTTCGCAATATGCAGCTTCTGGGGGCCCTCACTGTGCCTCGTGACCGTGCAAGAGACGACTCAGGGTGAAAAACGGGTCCCGGGTGATGGGTCGAGATTTCTGGGGTTCGACGTCATAACAAACAGTCATGGCGTCGGGGGTCTGGGAAGCAGGTGGCGGCGAGGGCTGCCGAGAAGGGGGGCCCTTTGCTGGCTCCTGGAGAGGGGCCCTGCAGGGCCCCAGAGGGGGACCTTTGCGGGACCCGAAGAGGGCATTCTTGTAATCATGCGATGGGTGGTTCTTCGGCGCAGCGTTCGCCCGACCAGCACCCATTGCCCTGACATCGAAAACTCGGGGCGGCCGAGAGGTCTTCACAAACAAACAACGGGAGACCTCAACACTGGGGCAGAGACGTCTGTTCTTCTGGCGAAGGCTCTGCATTATTCTGGCTGGAGAAGGGGTCTAGAGATGTGTGTTTGCAGGGCTCGTTGTTTTTCGCGGGCGTTCGGTTTTCGTTCAGGGGTGGCTGGAGGTTTCCAGCAGGAGTTTGTTCTTCCAGAGTCCGTGAGTTTCCTCCGGTCCCTGTAATCACGCCATTGCTTGTTTTTGTTGGCGTGGCGTTCGCCTGGCGAACAGTCGCCGCCCCCAAAAGTGAGAACTCGTTGCGGCAGGAAGTTGCCCAGGTGTTCGCGCTGCGTGACACTGTGGTCGCCGGTGCATCGGAAGGCGGGGGTTCGAAGGCGGGGTTTGGGCCCAGAGGAACGACGAGACGTTCACAGGGCTCGTTGTGTCCAGCGGGCGCTCGGGCCTCGGCGGCAGTAGTGACACGAGGGTCCCTTCCGAAGGCGACCCACTTGTCCGTGGTGTCTGGTGGCTTCCCTCCAGGATTTCCTGTTCTGGCGTCTGTGTGCATGACCGCTCGAAGGGGACATTTTTTTCCGCCCGCCCGAAACAATTCCCTCGTTCGACCGAGGACAAGTTCCCCGCGCGGCCGAAACTGCTTCCTCGCTCGGTCTGCGAAGTGCCTCGCTTGCCCCCGCGCGGCCGTCGAAATGCCATCGTTCGGCCGAGCATTTTTTGCCGTTTGTTTGTCGACCCCCTCGTACCCCGCCCGGCTGCCAGTCAGAAATTAAATGCTTATAGAATACCGCTTAAGGCATATCGGTCCAAGAAAAAATTATACGGGTATGGGAAGGAGCGGGAGGACGGGGGGAGGAAAAGGATGGACAGGACATGGATGCGACGGTGGCGGCGGCGGCGGCGACCACGTCGACGACGACGACGACGACGACGACGAGGACGACGACGACGACGACGACGACGACGACGTTCACGACGACGACGACGACGACGACGACGACGACGACGACGACGACGACGTCCACGACGACGACGACAACGATTGAAGCGTCTTGGATGTTGGTTGGGACCTCGTGGGAGGCCTTCCGGAGGTCTCCTGGAGGCAATTTGGAAGCCTTTGTGGGGGCCGTTTTAGGCCTGTCGGGGCCTCCTTTGGGCTTCGCGGGCGCATTTTAAGGGCCTACTGGGGACTTATGGGAGGCCTCCTGGGACCCTTTTGGGCCCTCTTGGGGGCGTCTTTGAGCTTCCCCGAAGCCTCTTGGAGCGGAAGGCTCAGATTTTCGGTTTGTGGTTCTTGGGCCGTTTTGGGGGCCTTCCTTGGCTGTCTTGTGGCCCTCTTGGGGGCCTCTTGGGCAGTCATCGGGCGATCTTGGGGGCCTCTTGGGCCGTTTTGGACCGTCGGGGGACCGAACAGGCGAGAAGGTTCAATCCCTTCAAGCACCCACGAAAATCATTGTTTGTTTGCGTCATGGGGCATGGATCTGTTTTCTCAAACACGGAACGGCAAGTACCCCGCTCAATGCGTGATGAGCAATGCGGCGGGTCCAGGCGGAGTAATTTCTACTCCGCCCACCCCGCTTATTCCGCAGTCGTCGGTCATCTTGCACCCCGACCACGCAACATGTTCCTCACGGCGATGCACGCGCCGGTTGTACCCCAGGTTTTGCCTGACACACCTTTTCCTGGGGCCCTCGTCGACAGGAGGGGGCGCTCGTAGCGCCCGGGGCACGTGCAGGAACTGCATGCCCGATCGAGCAGAGTCTTCTGGAAGTTCCTCGAGAGGCTGGCGCTATGCCGTCGACCCCCACAGCAGTGAATTCGCCAAGAGTCGCGCCACCGCGCCTGGCCTGTGTGTCAGGAGCCTCCGGGATGGGTTCTGTTTGGTCCCCCGGAATTCCTCTCACGAGCTTCTGGGAGGGCTCAGCGGGGGCATCCGATTGGCTTCAGGGGGCCTCTCGGGGGCCTCTTCGGTGCCTCTGGGGGGCGCCTCGGGGGTCACGGGGGGTCTTTTTGGGCCATCGCGGCGGGAAAGACCCGAGATGTCCGTTGTATTG